TCTCACAAGAGTGTCCCTTAAGAGTGTCCCACAAGAGTGTCCCGCAACAGTGTCCCACAAGAGTGTCCTACAAGAGTGTCCCACAAGAGCTGCCTACAACAGTGTCCCACAAGAGTGCCCCACAAGAGTGTCCCACAAGAGTGTCCTACAGGAGTATCCCACAAGAGTGTCCTACAAGAGTGTCCACAAGAGTTTCCACAGAGTGTCCCACAAGAGTGTCCCACAAGAGTGTCCCACAAGAGTGTCCCGTAAGAGTGTCCCACAAGAGTTTCCTACAAGAGTGACCCACAAGAGTGTCCCACAAGAGTGTCCTACAAGAGTGTCATTTGGACATATGTAGCTTTTTGAACGTGTTTGCATTCGGGTTCGTGGGCTCCATCTTGTTTTATGCTAGCATAAAAGTAAAAACCCTCAGCATAAAAAAAGAACCGTCAGCATAAAAAGAAGAACCGTCAGCATAAAAAAAAGAACCCACCCAAATCCAGCATAAAAAAAAGAACCGTTAGCATAAAAAAAAACTATTCCCAAAACCAATGCTTCGGGATTCAGCCTATTATGTAAATTCATGGTGGGGCCTGAGCTTTCTCCCGCTGTTTGGGGCGCCAGTTTGGTGGCGTGGCAAGCAATCATTGTTTGGAGTTGGCATTTCAGCTCTTGGGTGGGACAAGCTCCACTTCGAAAGAGTTGACCTTCCGTGGATGTCGGACACTCTGCCAAGTTTTTCTGGGGGCCAAATGGTGGGAGAAGCAGCTGTCTTTCGAAACCATTTTTGAGTTCTCAGGGTGATGCCCCCTGTGCCAACGTTCTGAGCACGTGGTGCTTTTCAGGAGTGGCAGCATCGATTTCCTCGAATTCCTCCACATGATCGGCATGGCGCGTATCGGGAGGGATTTCCGCTGACCGTTTGGCACGAGCGGCCTTGCTTGTTGGTGGGGCAGGTGGAGATTGCTTTTCGTAGTCGCTGCACGTGGGAGTTTTTTTTGGTACCAGGATCATCCAATCTGTGTCCAATTGACCACCCTACCCTACTTAACGGGTCTCCAGACAGGGCACCCATTGGAAGTGCTAGGTCGGTGGTGGGGCAGGTGGGTTTTTGGTGTGTTCTTTGGTTCTTCAGGATGCCGCGCTCGTCCGACGCCGGGGAACACACCTGGAATCGAATCGAAGTCCCCCAACCACAAAACGGCACGGTCACGGACTGGACGGTGAATTTGGAGTTTTTCGGCCTACCCAGACGCTCCAACCCTCAAATCTTTATGGTTTTGAGGGACCAAAGGGCTGTTTGGAGCGCCTGGGTACATAAAATAACACAAAAAAAACACAAAAACACCCCACGTGCCACGGAGCTTTTGGCCTGTGGGCACCGACTGGACCACTCGACAACTCCCCCAACATCCCACTGGACCCGACCGAGTCCCGGCGGGCAGAGTGTTGGCGGAGTCGTCGAACGTCCGTTCCTCCGCCAGGCGTGGCGTCAGGAGGGGCCCTTCAAACAGTTGGAGGGCTTCCCGGCCGCTCGGACACGTGAAGATGAAGGAGAGGATGGGAGGGGAGGACGTGGCAGGTTCTGCGCGGGTTCCAGGTCTGAGGCATGATGCCTGGTGTTCTTGGTCTTGGATCTCGCTTTTGTATGCTTTTGTCAGGGCACTGAGGCTCATGATTCTTTGAGGTCTTTGACTGCAGATGGATAAACAATAAAAAACACGCACACGACCGGCCCAAAGCAAGAAGGTGAGGTGGCAGCCAGCTTCCTTCATCTTGGCTACTCTTGGGTGATCTACACCGGGGGACAGCCACCTGCTCTCCTGCTCATCCATGCTCTCTTGCGAATATTCTTCGCAGCGAGAGTCGCCCCGATTTCCGTCCGATTTCCGTCCCCCCCCGGGGCTTATCGCTGAAGGGGCGCCCACCACGACGCGTCACGAAGCGAGCAGAACCGAGGTCACGAGCCTCGGCAAGTTGGAGCGTTGCGACCTGATGCTGCTCCTCTGCATCTTCCGTGCTCGGGACACCCAGCTGGCTAGAAGCTGGCTAAGTGAGTCCGCTAGAAGTGGCTCGTGGTGGCGAGCTGTGCCTGGTTTTGGCGTGTCACAAGGGTTTTCAGACGATGTTGTTTTGGTTTTCCTGATCATATGGGTCAATCCCCGAACCTGATGCGTATAGATATTTTCTTGAAACATAGTTTCTCGGTTCCTTAAGCTGTGTATTAAAAATACGGCGACCTGCGAAATCTCGCCCTGGTCGCTGGTTCCCGAACTGAACCCTGGGTCGTTGTCTGGGAGGTCTCTCTCTCTCTATCTTAATACACACCCAAATCATAAACCCGGTGTGGCTTCACGGGCTTTTGCCATCGGTTTTTCTGCATCGTGTACAAAGAAAGCTCCTCCTTCTGCCGGGTGGACCGGCCAGTGGAGGACAGATGATCCAGCCTGGTGTGCGTGGATCTTGGATAAGAAATTCTTCGCACCAACCTTCTGATGTGGTCATTCGTGACCTGACCGCCACCTTACCGGGGGCACACCGATGGAAAAGACGGACGACCTGTCCTCCACCGGGGGCTGAAGAGCTCCGCCCGCGGTCGCTCCCAGGGCACGATGGCATGACACGTCTTGTAGCGCCGCATATGACCGGCTTCAGCGCGAGATCGGATTCGGCTTGCGGATTTCGCCGAATATACTGCTTGTTTCATAGGAATTCTTCATTCAGAGGTCGCACAGACAGACTTTGTTGGGGAATCTGACAGACTTTCCTGCTAAGGCTGCGACAGTAATCAGTCCCAATGCAACACGAAAGTACAGTGCAGATCCTGATTGATTTGTGTCCTTGACCCTTGATGCACCTAAAAATTCTTGAACTCGAAGAATTGGTCTTCCCGTTCTCCCACTTTCAAGCTGCTAGTCTTCACACGTGCCAACCCCCCCACGGAACGGTGGGTTGTTCAGCGCCCTGACTCCCCATCACGCGAGTGCCGCGGCCCCCCTCGATGGCCACGGCCATCGATGCCGTGGTGCTCATCGACACGGGCACGAGCACGACGAAGGCGAGGACGCGGAGGTTGACGTCCACGGGCAGAGGGTTCGGTCTGGGTGGGATTCCGGGTTCTCGACAGGTTTCTCTGTGTGGAGAGCGAGGAATCAATAGATGAGCAAGAAACAGTAGAGTACAACTGTATACAACGGCAACCTTTCTCAACCAAGGGGCAAGAAAGATTATTGTTGACAACGAAACTGAGTTGGTTTTCAACTCAAGCCCTTTCTGCAAGGCGGCACGCTCTTCTCTAGCTGGACGCTCTCTAACCCTCAGACAGAAAGAGGTCCCTTTCCAGCTCGAGCCAAAGGCTTGAGCCAAATTCTTGAGCCAAGCGGCTACTGATGGAATCAGATTCTCCGGAGACAGGGCTACATTGCGAACCAAGCACCTCGTCTTCCGATGGTGTCCGGTGCTTTCTCGACAGACTTCTTCACACCTCCTGGTGGTAGCCATAATCCGTTTCAGGTCTCTAAGGTTTGAAGCCTCTGGTCGATAGAACAGAGTAGGTGAGGGAAGTCGGCAAAACAGACCTAACTTGGGAAAAAGATCAACTCGGACTGCTTGGGTGCGTCCTTGGTGATTCTTGAGCTGAGTAGAAGCTGCTTGAGTCCTCCAGTGTTCAACGAGCTCTTCCCCAACCAACTCCAATCACACCTCTTCCCCTCCCAGGCGGGCTGCGGAGGAGAAGATTTGCCGCGATGCATTGCTCCGACCGAGAGGAAGGAGCACTTGGGCAAGCTCGTTCTCAGCCGCTGGGGACGCTGAGAGCGTGTCGGTCACGGTCACAACAACCCTGGTCACGGCTTGGGAGGGTGGCTGGCTGGGTGGTGCAACTGACTCGGTCTCATACCACCCAATTTTGTCAGGTCATTTTGGAACATGTTGGGTCATTTAAGGTGTGGGAGGTTGGGAGGTTGAGAGGTTCTCCGCCGAGGTCTACTCGGAGGTCAAGTAGGCCTCCAGAGAAGGTCACCACACCTGTAGCTCCACAGAGAGAGAGAGAGAGAGAGAGAGGGAGAGAGAGAGAGGGAGAAGGAGAAGGAGAAGGAGAAGGAGAAGGAGAAGGAGAAGGTTTGAGCTGGTCTGGACATCGTCATACTCTCAGAACCTATCTATTTGGGAACGTTTGTAGAAAGGTCATGTCTCAGACAACGTCCCACAAAACACCGACTAGTGGGGAAACCGTTTGGTCAGCACTGGACTCTCAACAATTCCGCGACAGCAACATAGAAAATCCATCCGCAGCTCTTTTTTTCCCCCTCTCTAAAGGGCAGCAGGGCATGTTTTTCTGACGTAGCAGATCTGAAGAACGTTTGCTTCGGGCGTGTTTTGTCTGAGGTCAAGGGCGTGTCGCCAGCTGGGATGAGCTGGAGAAGTTGTGGCGTGACACCTACCACCAGCTGCTTGGAGCTGCAGCTGTATGGGTTGGTCTGTGAAAGTGCAGATCAGACTGATGGAACGGATGAAGGGGACCACGGCTTGGTGCCAAGAGTCTTGCGGAGGGTAGACTGTGCAGGTACGAAGTTGTGGACTGATAAGAGAAGTCTCTGATCTTCACCCATTTGATCCATCGTCATGTCATCTTCAATCCACACATGACATCCTGGCTCCATGAATGGGGCTGGCGCAAACAAAGTCATCCTCACCCGGCCAGAAGGAGGCCCAATTTGGCCAATCCTAAACGCAGATTTCCAGCCGCCCGTCTTCTAAGCCTAGCCCTTATGCCTCCTTGGCCTCCAGGCTGTGAGCCTCCGCCTAGTTCCGCCTGAACCGCAAGGCTCCGGCTATTGCCTCATCAACATCCGGTGCTTTTGACTGATGCGCCCTTGACTCCAAAGGAGGACAGCGCCTGGACGGCATGGGCATCAGGTCCGGCTTGGTACGGCATCAGGTATGGCTTGAATCGGATCGTTTGGCAGCTTCAACCTCGGCATGAAGGGTTCGACCGCCTGACCGTGAGGCAAGTTCGACCAGGTGTTGATGTGTTGTGACTGCGAAACCACATGGAGTGGCCACTGGCCACGTGGTGAGTGACCATTGGTCGTGTACCTTTCGTTACATGTTTTAAACACAGGCACTCTGAATCCCTGAAGCCCGATCAACGGCCGAGCCGGTTGCTTTTTTCTGTAAAAGCACACACACACACACACCCTCAGTGCAAACAAAAGATCAGAAAAGTGTGTGCATGTGCAGTGCATGTCTTGTTATTTAACATGTAAAACAAGGCAGATGATCCTAGGGATGACTTTGATCTCGGTTCCCTGATGCTCCCAGCTGTTTGGCAGTTGACCAAACTCTCAGTCTGAAGGACCGGCATGGCCATCTTTTTCGGTCCCCAGCACCACCCCGCCGCCTCTGGCACCGTCCTCCAGCGGGTTGGGCGTCCGGTCCGATCGCGCTCGTGGAGTCCAGGGGAGCGCATCACTCAGATCATGTTTGTGACCCGGCTGATCCGAGCTTCGAGCCATCGGCGACCGTCGCCCTGACGGCTCGACCGGTCGCCCTCCTTGGTTCGTCCTTTTTCCGGATTGTGCGTCCGCGTCCGAGCTGTCCAGGTCGGGAGTCGACGTGTTTTAGTGGGGTAGTGACATGTCATGTGGTTTCATGAATGAAATCCCTCTTCTTCGACTTGACTCCATGAATCATTGAGGAAAACCATCCGCCCAGCTGGTCATCCTCCACCGGCTCGGTGTTTGACCAACATTGGACTCTGACTCTCGTGTTCTTTTTCGTTGCTGCGCATCGCTCGGAATGGATGGAGTGGAGGAGAGAGGATCCGAAAAAGCTTTGTTGCCAGGTTACTGTAGGCATTTCGTCCTCGTTGCTACGATATGACCGGGGTCAGCCGGCCTGACATGTACGTGCACTGAGGAGAGCTTCAATGTGCCTGCCATGTACCTGGCCTGCACCGGCGCGCTCTCCTTGTATGCCGCCGGCCGCACCACAGGCGATCGGGCGATCGGGACCGTGACACGAGAGCGTTTCGGCTGTACAGCCCTGCGCCGCATCGTCTGGTTCCCGGTCTTCGGCGCTCTGTTTTCTGCTTGACACGTCGGTATCACCACACCACGGCCTAAGTGCAAGTTCGGGCTCCAAAAGGCACCCAGTCGTACGCCAAGTTCTCTCGCTTGTCAACTTACCGTTTTGAAGCTCGGCGGCTTCGGGAGCGAAAGGAAGTGCACCGGTATCGCGCCGATGAGCCGGAGTGGACGGAACCAGGTATCGCGCTGGAGCTGGGCCATGGGAGCAGTTGTGCCATGCCCGTCTACGAAGGCCAAAACCTTCAGGACTATGCCAAGCGTTCCGACGTGGCGGGAAAGCAGGCACAGTCTTTCTTGACGTCCGCATTTTTCGGAGGAGGGTGTGCGATCCGTGTGCTTTCGTGTGATGGACCTCGTTCTTGGCCCAAAGTTGTACTGGTTCGGTGCGCAGTCGGGATGGGGATGGGCGACCGCGGCGACCGTTCGAATCTGCGGTTCGACTCTGAGGGGGGTTGACTTGGTGTCACTGCACTTGACCTTTAGTGATGCTCGAATCATTTACCATGCGCTCCCCAAGAGCGGGTTGGACCAAGAGGACGTCAGACACCACGAATCCTTAAAGTCCATGGTACTGGAGGAGTAGGAGTGGCCAGGCAGATGACTGGAGTTCAAACCAGAGAACTCATACCAGGACCATCCTGTCGGGGTGCCCTGTCTGGAAGCCTAACGGCTGGTAGTGTGGGGTAGTCCATTGGCCCTTGGCTGTTCGCCTGGACGAGGTCACTGAGAGCTTGGCGCGGATGCTGGCCACCCGTGGCTCCGTGGACTAGACTGGGGACCAGAGAGTGGGGACCTTGCAGTGGTGGTTTCAGAACTGCATTTTTTGAAAAAATCAGGACCACCTCCAAGTCTTTTTGAGCGGAACCCAACGGGTTTTGTGGACTTTTCTGCTTGCGGAGAAGCTCCAAGCATCTTCCATGTGTCCTGCTGACCGGTGTATGCGGTATGCGCTTGGTGTGCTGACCTCTGACATCTGGGTTCCGCAGCGCCGCTGCTGCCGGATGCTCCGAGTTGGGTGTGTTTGAGGAAACCTGTAGAGCCATAGCCATAGACTCTTCAGGACCATAAACTCCAATTGGAACATCCTCTTCTGCCTCTCGCGGTCAGAGTGTGACACAAGACCTGCAGCTTTCCACAAGGTCAAAAGAAAAGGTCACCAAGACCCCATGGTGAGTAAATTAAAGAATCAGGGAAAGCCAAGAACAGAGATAGCCGAAACAGGAAAATCCGCACTTAGTGCCTGTGATTCGGCGCGAAATGCGCACGAGTTCAACCAGTTGCTGATCACTTCGGAATGGTATGCCTCCTTGTATCACGCCAGATGGCGTCTTACCCCAAGAGTGGTGACAGCGTGGGGGTGTGAGATCCAACATGACACTGAAAGGATAGGACAGCTTGTATCATCTTGTATCCATTGAATCACAGCTTCGGGGGCTTATTAATCGAGAGTCTACATTAAGATAAAAAGCTGCTCTAACCATCTTCATCCACCGGGCCCAGGGAATGGGATGGGAAAAGAAGCTCTGAGGTATTGCCTTCGGCATGGAACAGCGCGACATCGTGCGCGACATCAAGGAGAAGGTCTGTGGCCTGGCCCATCGGAGGTCGTTTCACATCATACCGACCACCTCCCCTCAGAGACATCGGTCTCTCAGCACCACCATCTTCCGAAATCGGAGTATGGTGTTTTTGTTTTTTTCTTCGGAGTACGTTGCCGCAATCTCCAGTATGTGGCGCGCCAGATCCTTTTGAACCTAACACATCCTAACACAATCATTCGCGCGAACACGTCTGGCCCAAACGCACCCTAACTCGTAACCGCCCCAAAAACCGCCGCCCGAACCGCCCAAAACATACGGAGGCACCCGTCCCTGTCTTTCGAGGCTCGGTGGTCTTGGACCAGGCCTCCTTGCGCGCGGACGTGGGGCGTCACTTCGAGCTCCCCGACGGCGCAGCGCCTCGGCGGCGGGGTTGGGACCACCGATCTCCAGATCCGGCCACAGTCTCGGAAGCTGGCTGGTGGTATCTTCGAATTTCATTCTAAAGGAAGAGGGAGCCATTTGGACCTGTCATGAAAGAGGTCAATAGACGAATTATATATAATGATAAGGTATATCATGTCTTAGTAACGCTGAAACTCAGTCGTCTCAGAACCACAACACCACTTCTGTACCAGCACCTTCAAAGGGGTCACCTGGCTGGAAGCCCCAGCCCACCACTAAGGGACCTCCAGCCAGGACACCCCTTGAAGGTCCAGGTATGCGGTGTTTTATCGTGTTTTGCATTCGCAATCTTGGGCTTGTAGCAATGCTGGATCTCCGATCGATATTGCTAGGTTCTGGACATTCAAGGGGAAAAACTGGGCAGTCGTCGGATGAAGATTGGTCATTGGATTCCAGGGATGAAAAACGCTGCTCCGAGCTGTTCTGTCCGTTTATATCGTGACTCTAAATAGATGACATGCCATTGGGGCTTGCTGTTCGGTTCAGAGTGTTCGGCAAAGTGCCAAACATATTCATCATTCATGTTCAAGACTCCAACCCAATGAACATGATCACCCATTTTCACCACCATGGCTCTGAACCTCTCTGAACGCCCAAAAAACCCTCAGGTCGTCAGCTTGGGCGATGAGATCCACCGAGGGCCCGAGCTGCTCTTCAAACCGCAGGTGGACCCCCACGAGAGGAGACCCACCGGCGACCCCCATTTGAGCATGGGGATACATCTGGAGGACGGAGAGGGTGTTTGTAGTTGTCCTTCTTCTGTATACGGTGGATCCGGCATGGAAGGCATGGAAGAGTAAGAGAAAAGAGGTGGCAACATTTCTAGACAACGGATGACACCGGTGACGACAGGTATCGAGCCAAGGGAAGTTGTTCTCTTTGGATGATCAACGACAGGTCTTTTCGCGGTCACATGTCGGACATTAGACATCCTTCTCTGTGGGATCCACTTGTATTTGGCATTCTTTCTGCCTTAAGAGATCTATCAAGGCCAAGCAGTTCCAGGCGGCTCTGCTTCTTTAGACCCCAATTTGAGGAAGGTCTTTGGGACGTCACCCTACCAGACCCTGTTCCTCGTAGCACGAGGCCAACGGACGCCGCGACGGCACGGAGGCCTTTGGGACGAGATCACTGGGCATTCACGAGATCACCTGGCAAAGTCTTCAGCGCCCTGGCGCGTCGCCGAAGTGCGCGGTCGCCGAAGTGCGGTCTCGGGAGACCGCGGTCGCCGGTGCCGGGTTGGCGGCGGGTTCGGCGGGTTCCTGGTGGGTCGGGACAGGTGGGGAAGATCTGCGGAATCTGAAGGAACAGGTGCTCCAAATCAAGAGACATCATTGGAGCGAAAGACCAGGTGGTGTTGATTGGGGGCGGCGTCAGGTGGTTGGGGGAAGAGAGGAGATCGGTTCATTTACATTTCATGTGACATGAGTCAAGACCCCAAGAGCCAAAACTATCCAAAACCACAGGAGAATAGACATGCTGTGGTGTTTATTCCTCTTTGTCTTCGACTTGGGTCAAGTCGCGCACACAATGGAAGCCTTCGGCTTGCTGTTTTCATTCTGACTCTTAAAAAAACCACGTCTGCGTGCAAGATCTGCGGTCGTGATTGCACAGCCCAAAACCACGGAAAGCACTGCAGTTTTGGTGATCTTGGTGATCTACGCCCAGCAAAGAGAACTGGACAACCCCTTCTTTCTCTACAATGTCACAGTTTTCCAGTTTTCCTTTGGAAAAACTTTCTTTGGGACCAGTTCTTCCATCTCCTCTCAAGTCTCTCTCCACTTCTCCCCCCCCGTCTCCCCAGAGAGAGAATGGTTCCCCGCCGAGGAGTTTGGACCTCGATGTGCGACAGGAGTTGAGCTCGTGGCTGGGAAGAAAAGCATGAGACCGTATGAGACCCATCATGTCGGACGGCATTCGGAGAGAGTTTTTTTCTTTTGATATTCCATGCTGATGGGGCAGTGACCTACTTATCAACAAAGCTTTGGGAGAGAGTTTTTTGAAAGTGTGTTTTGAGAAGATAGTTTCTACACAGTTCTATAGTTCGTTCTAGGATGTTCTATTGATATGGCTCATTTCTTGTTGTCCAGTGCACGTAGTGTCAGAGAGTTTTCGGACATGATCTATTGCACGCAGGCTTTTGCGGTAAATCCACCATGTAGTAGAATGTGCTGAAGCAGGTTCTGCCAGATGTCCATGACAAACAGGAGAAACGCTTGAGGTAGATGACCCCTTCTTCCACGGCGCTCGTCGCCTCGGCGGTCGTCACGGTACCCTGATTGGGGCCTGGGGCCACCTCTGAATTCCATGTCCAACCAACCACACAGGGCGGTCGTTCCAAAACACCTCTGGCGCGGAATTCCGCCGGCCGTCTCCGCGCCGAACCTGAGCCTTTCCGCGGCGTGGCGGCGCGCGTGGAACGGAGGAATGTGGTGCTGAGCGGGGGCACCTCGTTGCTTCCGCAGCTGCCGCAGCGGCTGACGCGGGAGTTGGAGCAGCTGATGCCGGAGCTCCCCGTGAAGGTGGTGGCCAACCACGAGCGGCCGCTGGGAGCAAGACGTGAAGGGGGCCCTGTTTGGTCGGCCGATGTTGCGATGGTGTGTTTGATGTCCCCAGCTTGGGATGGAAGAAACGCAGCTGGTTGGAGTATATGCAACGTTGTGGAAGATGCTCGAAACTAGCTGACAAGTCGAGTCAAGTCGAGCCTCAGGAAGTATGGAGTTTACCTTGGAGCCTCCATCTTGTACCCTGAGCTGCATTTGGTGGACCTGTTCCAGGTGCTTTGCCCACCATTCGTAGAGCCGACCTTTCCGTCCGTTGCGTTGAACCGCTCGGCACCGCCACCGCGCGGCCGCTTTTTTCCGCCTCATCATGCCAGTGCCAAGTGGGTCGCAATGCTCGGCATTGTTTTGGGATGGTGGAGCAGAAACACGTCAGACCGTGGCGTTCCCTGAGGGAAATGGGATACTGTACTATCGTGACCGCTGCAGGACACCCACTGCCAGCCAGTCCAACCAGAGACACACCCCGGCAATCCCCGGCAGCCGAGCCAGTGGGACACGGGCGTTTTAGACCCGGTGGCCGGACAGAACGGCAGAGAACACACGTTTGTACACACACACACAGTGACAAACACCAAACATACTTGGACCATCCGAGGGGTGCCCTGTCTGGAAGCCTAGGCTGGTAGTGTGGGGTAGTCCAGCCAGGACACCCCTTGCTTGGATGGTCCTGGTAGCACTTGACAGTGCACAATGACAAACACGGCAACAGACAAGAAAGAAGGACAGCAAATATTGCTAACAACAGAAGACTTAGACAAATGACAGAACACAAAACAAGCGCGACAACAGACAACCAACCATGACACCCATTTGCTGACACCAAACATAGCACTTGATACCCACAGTGACAGCCACGACAACTGACAACAAACATCGAGACACAAACAGACAAGGCAACGGACAACACACATATTGACCCACAGAACAGCAACGACACCACACATACCAAGAACATCCAAGAACAGCCAGAAAAACAGCCGTGCCGCGACGCCCCCAAAAAGATCGGACCAACCTGGTTGGGATAGTTGAAGTCGTTAGACCACCCGGACCAGCTAGGCTTCGTCCGACTAGTCCCAACCAGTCCCGCAAGCGAAAGACCTGGAAGAGGAAGAAAAGCCAGGGATCCCGGTGCCATGACCCAAAACGCCATACGCCCTGTGTCGGACATCGGGTGAAAACCCTCCTGCTGAGCAGTTTTTCAGTCCGGGTTTTGATGCGTCAAAGGGTCCAGGCACAAAACCATGGGGTTTTCAGGAAACCAACGATCAAACCGGTGAGCTTGGTGACCTGTGAGACTCCCTGCCTTCGGCCCACCACTGCGCCGACCGCGCATGCTTCATCGACCAAAGCATGACACCCGAAATCGGCGGTGAGCGCCGGGCTTCGTGGCTTCGGGTTTGTTCGGGTTGTGCAGCACGTAGACTGGGTCTCGTGCTCGTGATGTCTTCAGGGTCTCTGGGTCTCGGTCGAAACTGTGACAAACCAGGGCTGAGGGACTGCGACTCTCGTGGCGTCTGGACGCTTCGTTGGAACGTTTTTGGACGCAAAAGAACGAGACCCTGGGAGTCAAAGACTATAAAGAGAATGGTCTGACGAACGGGGACCTGATTTCGGGAACTTCCTTTACTCCAGCCGGGCAAAATAGAGTCGAACTGGACTTCTAGGGGAGACGTAGGCGACAGATCTTTCGAACCGTCGAACCCGCCACGGAGTCCGACGACGGCGCCCGTTTAACGACGATGACGTGCCGGACACCCGATCGTGGACACCCCTGTCGCCGTCCACTGGACGACCTTTTTCGGTGCTGTAGATGAGGTGTCGCGCAGATCGCAGGAGGGACTCAGGGATTGACGAGTGACGGGCATTTCTCTGCAAGATCTCTTTTGACACCAATAGTCGAAGTTGCCTCTCTTGGCCCACTGCTGGCTAGTTTGGTTTCTTTGTTACGCAGTAATTGCAGAACGACCCCCGAATAGATCAATTGGTTGTTTTTGAGCTCCTGCCTTTATATGTTACTGTACTCATGTGGTGTTTAGAACTCAAGGCTGGCAGGAAATCCTAAGAAAGCGTCAATCCTAAGAATGCAAACCTTGAGCCCAGACCTGTTCCAATGAAGTGCCACAGAAACAATTCATCCAGGAGTCACAAAGGGGTGGTGTTTAGTTCATAAGTGAGTGGATAACCCCCTGTGACTGCTGGATGATGACGCTTTAGGTCAAGTTCTCTATAACTTGAATTCCAGCTTGGTGTTTGCTTCAAACGAAACACATGCTGGCTGGTGGAACACCCCTCCATTATCTGCTGTTTCTGTGGAGGAAAGTGTGATTACACGCTTAAATGACCCCCAAATCGATCGAACAGTAGATCCCCATGTTCAGAATGTCTTGGACACCGTGCAATATCCTCTCCATTTGGGGACCACATTTAACCGTTCCACCGGTCTTGCCGCCCCGGCGAGGTCGTCCCTTGGGACCTTTCAGCAGAATTTGATCTCCTCGGCCGACTACGAAGAGATGGGCCCGTGCATTGTCCACCGAAGATGTGCGTGAAAAAGGAGCCCGCGAGCTGCTGTTCCTGCTGCAAGCTGCTTCCTGCCCGCGATCTACCCGCTGCTACCTTCGGGACCGAAGGAACACACGCGACGAGACGGGAAGACGGGGTCGTTGCCAGGTTTTTTTTTGGGATCGCGTGTCGGCCGTTTTGAAGTCCGCGTGATGGCTTAAGCAGTATGGTGGATGTGCCTGGTTTCGCTGATCTAAGGTGATTTTCTGTCCCGAACTGGGTCAATCCCCAATTCCTCAGCTCCTGGACCGCCAATCCGTTCTTTCTGGGGTCCCACTGGCGGCGCCCGCGTGGGCACCTCGGTGGCAACACAGTCAGACCGCCCAGGTCCCTCTCAGCCGCATGGACGGCCTGCCGGACGGCCGCGCCGCGCTGGGGAGACTCCTGGGGGTGGGTTGGATTCCGAAGATGTTTGGGTACAACTCCAATGCCTTTCTTGAACAATTCGGGACGGATGGAGCGATCCTTTTTGAGAAACTGCCTTCTGTGGCATTCCTTGCCATACTGAACAACCATCTCGGTGGCTCCAGGCTCCACTGGCCTCTAAACATACGCGTCCACATGGCAGGCTCCACGGCGCCAAACCGCCCGCCCGCCGCCGCGCAGGATGCCAAGCTGGCTCAGGAGGTCGCTGAACTGTTGGGCATCGGCTTGGGGCCCAGGTAGAGCACTTGGACCTAGGAAGCTTGAGGACTGGAACGTTCCGGAGTGAGAAATCTCAACTGGTTCAAGTGAGAAAACCAGAGAAGATAGCTAAGAGAAACACCGTAGTCATGACTTCTGACTGAAACGTAACTCCTTTTTCTTGCGATGTTGTTTTGCTTTGCCCCACCAGATGCCACCCATGGAGAGAACATAGACCAGCCCGTCCTCGCTGTCCGACTCCGAGGCGTCGAACAGGAGCTCACGCTTCTTGGCACCGATTCGATGGGAGAACGATTTCAGCACCACCGCATGGTTGTGGCTTCGTTGTGAAGACGGCGTGCGAAGGAGTTGAGCACCCTGAACTCCACTTGGGTCAAGGAGTTCCGGACGCATACTTTTCGGGTCTACCAGGACCCTCCGACAGGCTGTTTTGGGACCCTGACAGGTGGTTGCCAAGAAACACCTGTTGGAGGGTCCAGGTAGTTGTTTGAACCAGCAGTCACATGTCGGGGTGCTTACCATGGAGGTTAGGGGTGCCCAGCTACTCCACTCACTGGATGGGACTAAACACCACCCCTTTGTGACTCCTGGAATTCGTCTTTTTCCACCCGGAAGGCTGGACTGCGACCCTTTCGCCCCTTCGAGGCCGCTCATCGGAGGCCGGTCGCTGGTGGTCTTGATCCGCTACTGCGAGCGGCTGGCGCGCTGAGGCGGGCCCGGGACGGCACGGCTTTTGGAACCAGGGAACTCAGGGAAGCCTGGTTTTTGGGACGGTTGGACGTGTGGGCCACTCTTCAACATGTCTAAACATGTTTGGACACTTTTGGAACGTCGTTGGTCCTTTGCCCATTGTTGGGGGGCTCTATTTTTAGTGTTCGGCGTAGCCAGTGCGTGGAACCTAGCTTCATGATGCTTCATGCGTGTGTGCGGCTGGCTTCTTTTGAGCTGCTCATACGGTACGCGTGCTAGATCTGCTCATACAGTCCGCGCTTTGAATAGTCTATAATGTATACCAGGGCCTTCAAGGGGTGGTTAATGGACACCCCTTAACGGCTAAGGGGCTATAAATAGACACCCCTTGGAGGGTCCTGGTAGAATACGATAGATGTCTACGAGTTATCATATACCAGGACCTTCAGTTCGTGACCTCTTTGGAGTCTGTAAGTGACCTCTTCAGGGACTAAGTAGTGACCGACCCGCCACTGAGACCTCAAGGACGGTCCACTTTGAAGGTCCTGGTAGATAAAGAACCAGCAGTCTCTTCAGGATGTGCACCCGTCTGTCTCTGTCTCCGGTGACCGGATGAACCTCTGCAGCAGGATGTGGCCCTGGATGTGACCGGTATGACCCGGCAGTGTGGCACCTTTCGAAATGGGAAAGATGCGGGTGTGGTGCCTTTTTCAATAGGGAGACACCCTGATCCTTTCTCGTTCACCCCTGGCTGCGGCTGGGAATTCTGGTCGATGTTCCGAAGGATTGGTGGGGCTGTTGGATGCTGTTGGTTGGCCGGGGGTTGGTTCTCCCTAATTGAAGACACACTCATGTACACAATTGGCCTTGAGAGTGATTTGACCCGGTCTCATGAGACCGGGAGGCTGTCCAGTACCGTTGGAGGCGATGTTGCTAGAATCATTAGTGTCCATGTTTCACGTGTAGATCTGAGTAGAATCTTAGCAGATCTTCACATAGTGTCCTGCCTACCCCATGCCTTCCATTCTCCCATGCCTATTCTATACCTCCCCAATCCAGCGGTGGGTGTCATGTCGACCCTTCCAGCCGCCTTCCAACGCGAAAACCCGCCCGCAACCGACCAACCGGGTCCTTTGGGTAGGGCCGAAGGCCACCCGAAGGCCAGACCGGTCAAGAGGTCGCGCCTTCGCATCTTTGCTGCGCGTGGTTCGGTGGGGAAAGAAGGGCCACCCGCGCGGGTGGTGAACACGAGGAGTGGAGTCATGAGAAGGTTCCACAGGACGGGTCGTGAGAAGCTAGAGACCTTGGAATGAGAGAAAGACACATGAAAGACATGGAGTGAAAGCAGTGGGTTCGAACATGCATGAAGCGAACATGCTGCGCATGCCACCAGGCTCCACATGCAACAGTCTGAGAGGGAAGGGACCGTAATACGAGCATGAGACAGCTATGACCATCGCACGAGAAAATGCATCACGTTCTGGTGTCTTCTTTTTTTGCCAAGACAAGGAAGCTGTTAGAACAAAGATGATGTGTCCTCGATATACTGTGGGACCCACGTGTACATTAAAGCTTTAATAGACCTCCCAACCCCCAGACAACCCAACAATAAAAACAACGGACACTGCGGCAAAATGAATGAGGCAAACATGAGGTGAAGATGGCTGGACATTCCCAGTACTCTCGAGGCAGAATGGAGCAAGAAGGCCAACAGACAGAATCTCAAGACACGGCTGCCCCTTTTCCTTCTTCTTCCAAACTTCTGACAGGAAGTCAAAGGACAGCCTGTCAGGTCCGCAGATAGCAGCAGTTTTCGCATGCTTTGGGGTGCCATCAGCAGCATCGATGCTTCATTTGACATTCTCGCCACAAGGGGCGACGACGGGATCGGACCATGCCGGACGCGACGGGATCGCGGGCCATGTCGAAGAAGCCCAAGCGTCTTCTTGAGCGGGTGCGTCTTTCTTTGAGGGGTGGAGGGCAGGTTCCTGGGAGGATTTGCCTGGTTTTGGGCGGATCAGGCGATTCTTTTTGGCGAACTGGGTGAATATGTCCTGGTTATTTTCCTCAGTTCCTGGGAGCTGCACATCCCAAGGGGAGGATTTTGGTGGTGCAGGGGACGCACATCGATTTGGGAACTCGTTCTCAGTGGATTCCTTCCGTGTTCCGTTGGACCCGATGGATGGTGGACTCGATGGATGGTGGACTGGACTCGGTGTCACTCGAGATGCGGTCTGCGATGTGTTTGTTTTCCATTTCAGAATGCGAGGGGTAGGATGTGAAGGTGCACAAATCAAATCGATGCGGTCTGCAAATCAAATCAGCACATATATTTTTGTCTTAGTTTCGCACATGTGCTTGAGTCCTTGATTCACATGTGTTCCAATCATGTGACACCTGTGCTCCAAGCATGTGACACGCTTGTGTCAGCTTGAAATAGGGGCCAAAAACGACCGGATGGGCTCCGACGCCCAATTCTTCTGGATGTAGCGTTCGGGTTGGCGGCCATCGCCAGTAGGTTGGAGGCCATTGCTAGAAAGAAACCCACATAGAAATGATCGAAGATCGTTTCGGCCGAACTTGAGCCGGTTTGGAGGCTATTCCCTACGTGGCGGAACAAGCTTCGCTACGTAGGAACGAATGACACGACGACCGCCCGACGAGGTGACGCTGCTGGGCTCCTGTGCTCAGCTGCGCTTGGACGTGCCAGTAGGCGGGCGATTTCGCTGGCGAAGTGATTTGGGACCACACCGGGACCACACTTAGTGTTTGGAAGTGTCTTGGGTTTGGAAGTGTCTTGGCTTTGTTCTCTACGAAACCGAAAGTGAAAGGCTAGCGGTTTATGATTTATATAGAGCATGTGATGCTCACGAGAAATCATGTGCGATCGCTGCGAAGTCCAACACAGTGCGACCAGCTTTGGCGGTGCTGCGAGTCGCACTGCAACCGAGTTCTGCTTCGCGATCGTTGCTTCACATGGCAACCATCGATCAGTTGCTTCACACGGTTTGGATGTCACCGGAAGGACGGCCCCCTGGGCCTCTCAAACCGACCCGCTGAGATGCCTCCAGCAGTCCTTCCCACCGACCCGTCCTGGTCCTTCCAAGCGACGGTGCCGCCACCGCTCGGCCGGAGGCATCACCGTCGCAGAGGCTCGCCAGCGGGTCGAAGAGAGTTGGGGGCGCCCGGAGCGGTCGTCGAGCGGAGCGAGGTGGGCGGGGGCGCGGTGGGGGGGCGTCGGTTGGGCGGCACGAGCGGCGGCAGAGAGCCATGGGTGCTGACTGGTGGACAGACCGTTTGGTGGTGGCGGGAAGGTGGAAAGATCCGCCAAAAGGATGTTTGGATCGGACTTATAGGGTGTAGCAGGCTATAGCTTCCAGTGTAACTGCATCGCCTTTTTGGAGGATGTTTTTTGGAGCGGATTGGCCGGCCAACAAACCGCCCTTGGCTCCATTCGACTGCTGAGGTTGGGGGTGGGCTGCTGGGCGTTTGCTCTTCTTCGCAGCTGACAGCGCGTTGTGCCTGGACTTTCAACGGTTCAACGGTTCACGTCCAGGTCCTGATCAAGTCACAGCCTCTGAACGACATAGAAGACAGGCCGAAAAAAGGCAAAGGGAGAAAGTGGCAGCACAAGGCGGCCACTTTTGCCAACCTTTTCCACATTTGGTGTCTCACTCCTCATTCCCACAGCATTCGGTCGCCGAACTGGAATTGGAAGGCTGTGAAAACTGACTATACAAGACAGTCAAACGCAGATGTCCCAGCTTTTTGCCCGAAGAACATACGAAAGCCATCTCAGGATCTGGGATGACGACTACCAGCTCGTGGGAGGCTGGGTGTCGGACGGTCGACGGTCGCGCTTGTGAGCGGCTCGGTGCGCGAGCCGATGCGCCGGTGCCGGCGGCGTGCGCGAGCCGATGCCCAACGCGACACATCCGGGCCACAGTTCCGTGGCTTCCATCGGGTGGCGCTGAAATCAGCGCGTTGACTCATCAATCCCGCTTCCCCCAGTGATGCGAAACAGGGTGAAGAAACCATCTGACTCGTGGCGGATCATAATGGGGTGGCTGGATCCAAGCTCATTCCCACCAGTCAGAACATCTCCTCTGTCGTTAAACTTCCAACATCTTCCAACTTTTTTTTCAATGGCCACGACGGAAGGAAGAAAGGAAGGAAGTGCCGTCCTTTGGTTGGTTCTTTGGTTCTGCTTTCGTCGAACCTTCCTCCTTCCAGCCGTCCAACCTTCGTGCTAGCGGTGTCTGCACGGATGCCTCCAGCCGGGCTCTTGCACTCCCGTGCGCCGCGGTGGGGCCGTGCGCTGGGGCCGTGCGCTGCGCCGCGGTGGCAGGCAGCATCGTGGTGGGCCGTGCGCCGTTGCCGCTCACCGTGGTCTTTCGGCTCATTGCGGTGACGTCACGCTTGGCCCGGGGCCTTACGGGTCTGGCGGACCGGCCGAGGAGGGAAGACGGAGTCGTTGAAGAGGTTGAAACGATTGAAATGTTGGGAACACAGGGCGTGAAACGGGCGTGAAACAAACCGTGGTTCTGGGGTATAGAACCAAGCTATACATAGCAAAACCACGACTTTTTTTGGCTCAACGTTCACTTGGATTGGTTTCTCCTGTGCGCATTCGCGCGTGCGAGCTGCGAGGTGAACCACAAGGTGCCGCTCTTGGTCCCCGGAGGAGCGCGGGCGCGGCAGCGGCGTGGAGCTGGTAGGAGCAAGTGGGGTTTTCCTTTTAGGATTTCTTGCTGTGTTCTTCTCACCCTGGATGATGGAGCCGAGCTCTGGGGTTCGGTTTGGTGACCAGTGCAGAACCCTGCGACTCGGCAGGGTTCGGTTTCTACACGCAGCGCCGCCTGCACTGTGGCGTTCGCCAGGCGCTTTGGCCACCGCCAAGAATGCGTGCGCTTCCCTGGGGCGCCACTTGGGCATCCCAGCCAGGGGGCCCCAGAGCTGGGCTTGGTGAGCTTCGTGGCGCTTTTTGGACAGGGGATCGTCCAAGACATGGGCCTTTCTTGTGGGGGCAAAAAGGAGGTCACGTAGAGTGTCACGAGTGTATACCCTAGACTTCCGAGACCGTTAAAAGAATGGTTGACCTGGTTTTTGTAGTGTAAAACCCTTAGATTCGGTAAACGCCTATTGAATTCATAGTGGTTGGAAGCCTAGCTAGGGTATAATCACCCCCATCCCCGAAAACAAGGATTTGATCATGTCCACCTGGACAGTTGTGATTCAAAAGTCCAGTCCACAGTCGGATTTTCTTTACTGTTCCACCGATCTGGGGATTCTGCCCCTTTCAATGAGGGCTCGGAGCTCTTGGAAGTGGTGCTCCTGGAGGCTGGGTCGAGCGGGTGTGTCTCCGTGAGACGGAGCACCCGAAGGATCTCCCTGCGAAGAGGTGGACCGACGAAGACATCACATGGAAATGGATGGCACCTCCTGCCATGCTGAACTGACTCACTTTTGGTTGATCTGGGACTCGCCCATTTCGTGCTGGATCGTGGGTACGTATAAAGAGTGCGTTCGCATGCGTTCGCAACAGGAGAACATGAGGAGACAGCTGGGGTAGGTGTAGAGGTGTTTCTACACCTGCCATCTGAAGATTCGAGATCTCCCAGCATCTTGACCAGTTCTTCATCCACACTGAGTGCAGCAACGCCGTGACCCCAATCAACGTAACTAGCGTTCCACTTCCAGTCCACTCCCCTTTTCTTCTCGTCCACCAGGCGAAGGAGCAGCCAGCGGCGCTGGAGGATGAGGAGAACTTGGAAGCCTTGCAACTCCGCTCGGCGATCATCCGCTTCCGCCCCCCGGCCGTTCTCGCTCTCCGACGGACAGCCTTCCTCGCTCGACTGCGTCGCGCGAAGTCGCGCCGCCGCAGCGCCCACCGCCGTTCTCACCTCCGTTGCTCCGGAAAGTCCCCGGGCGCGCCAGTGCAAGCAGGTGAAGTACCAGGGAAAATGGCATTGAGTGGTTTTGGAGCAGATGTATGGGGGTTGGACTCGGGGGGTGTCGCGTCGGGAACTGCGGACGGGTCCGGGAGTGGGATCCTCTTCCAGGTTTGATGGGCGGTTTCCATGAACTTCTGAATTATATATGCACAGCTTGGTGCAAGGTTGGATTCTGAATTTTCATGACTTTCTCCAAGACTCCAAGATCTTCAGATCCAGCGATGTGTGTTCCTTGGCTGCTCGCGGTTTCGATGCTCACAGGGCCTGCGTTCAGGTCGCCCGGCTCAGCGGATGGTGCTGGAGCTTTTGAAAATGAGCGGCTTGGCAGCGGCCGTTCCTCCGAGCGCCGGCGGGGGTTCCGGCGGAGTTCCGGCGGCATTGGCAGATCTTCAAGAAGGATGTCCTAAATCCTAATCCTTTCTTCCTGGACCTTCAAGGGGTCTCCCTGGCTGGAGGTCCCTCAGGTTTTATGTGTTCGAGTTCCGCTGGGTGAGCCAATTCTTGGGGCGGTCCACCTGGCTGTTCAGCCCAAAAGGGTCCCTGGGCTTTAGAAACATGTGGGTCGCCACTGGGGGACCAACATGAAGAGCATCATTCACTAGAATCAACGTGTCTAAAGTCTAAAGTAAGGTTCCTTTGAATCGTCCTTCGCAGGCAGGAGGCGTCTGAAGAAAGTCGATCCACACGCGTTGGTAGGTCCACACTCCACACCCCCTGAAAGGATCATGGTTACGTGGATGGCACCACCCTGTTTGGTATTCAGATGTCGGTGCTCCCAGGGGGCCTTGCCATCCACATGATTCCAGGGAGTGTTTGCGTATTCATGTTTAATCTCAGAACTTGGATCCTGAGTCTGCTTCAGCTGTCAACTGGGCATTGGTTGATGGAGCCATGTCGGACCATGTCGAACGTCGATGCCACTGAGGGCTCCTCTGGCCACTGGGCAAGCAGGGCTGTCGGCCACCTCCACAGGAGTTGGGTGTCTTGTTCTCATGTTTGTCCGATTTCAAGAGCTAGTAAGAAAATCGGACCCATTTCAGGGCGGAGTTGCAAGGATTTGGCATGTCAACTTTAAGAATGGTATCATATCGTATACATAATTATCCCTTAGGTGCGGGGTTTGTCTCCAGCAAAGAGAGGGAAGATCCTTTGGAGCTGTTCACGCGTCTGTTTCTGGTTCTTCCTGTCGCCTGGAGTGCTACAGATGTGTAACACAGCCAGTAGAGGGCTGGCTCAACTCAAGTTGTGCATAGGCGTTCCACAAGGTTCTACAGATCAATCCGCGTATGCATTTGCCAAGATGCAAAGGCACCAGCCTAACCACCCACCCATGCACCAGTGTGAACAACCAGCTTCGACGCAACATCGACGCAACGAAGGATCGATGCAGCTGCAAACATCTTCGATAGCAGGCTATCTCTTAGAGTTCACCCATATATGCACAAAACATGTATACGATGCGGTGACATGGGGGGTCCAAGAACAACTTTGCAGAGCGCTCTGCTCCGTGGTGGTGCTCGGCGGTGCTGTTGCTGTGGTTGTGATGGTGGTGGTTGTTGATCGGGTCCCATCCATCGGTCAAGCACTTCTTCTCATTTCCCAAGGCTCCTGGAACCCGACGCCACGCCTCCGCTTCCGACGCTTGAATGCTCTGACAGGACTCTTGGTCGATCTCTGTGCCTGACCTAGGTGTGCAGAGCAGGGAGTTGGGGCGGAGTTGATCGGGTTCTTGGAGTTGGTAATGAGCCACGCCCAGAAAGGCCATTGTTTCAAGGGCATTGTCTGGATCCCAAGATGACGATACAGCGAGAACCCCGCGGCCCGAGCGCCACGCTCGCCCGCGGCCGGTTGACGGCTCCTGCTCGCTCTGGCGGAGGCGACTCGGCGCTGGAGACGTTGGAGGCCACGCAGCAGGTGCTGCGCTGTGCCGCCTCCGAGGCGGAGTGGGAAGAGACAAGTGGTCGTTATTTTTTGGGGGTGACTCAAGAAACAGAGTGGCAGGGGCTAGGATTGGTCATGATGCGGCTATTTTTGGGGTTAGCTTGAAGCTGAAAACAGAAGTTCACACATATGAAGACATATCATTGCACATCTATAATATGTCAAAAAACACATACGTAGATGCCTTTCTTTTGCTTGACTCCGGGCACCACCTCATGACTCATGCCATCCAGCCTCCTTTTTTCGGGGGTTTCCTTATCATCTCCCATCCATTCTCACATCATCGGCTATCCGCGTTTCTCGGGACCTGGTCCTGCGAGGCACAAGACCTGGTCTTCCATGCCACCGAGGCCGGACGCGGGTCACGTGCAGGTCTCGCGAAGTCGGGTCGTCCAGGTGGGTCGAGGTGGCGGGTCGTTCGTTCGGCCCGGAAGTTGGACCCTTCGGAAGTCGAGTGGGCTCAGACGCCTGGAAGACGAGGTCATTCCTCTTGGACATGGCCTAAGGAGGTTTCGGCCTGGAAGACGTTTGCAGGGGTGGTTTTTCCATTAGACATGACCCGCGCAAGCAACATTTGCAATGGGCTAAAGCTTGAAGTGGCCTGGAGACTTGCAAAGATTCCGAACATTCTCTAGCAAGTGGCCAAGACATTCCGTCTGCACACCGAGGCTCATTCGCGCTCTCAAACACCTGGGACCTCAGACTAACGCAAGGGCCTTTTCGAGCAAAAACAGAGAACCATCGGACACTTCACCATCTTCACCCGCGTTCCCTCCGGAAGGCGGTCACCCGGAACGCGGCGTCTCGCCTGCTGGCCACCCTGCAGGATGCCTACCGATGGCGAGTGGAGTTGGGAGGCTTAGAGGAGACGACCTGACGTGGTCCGTCGCCGGAGATTCATCGGACATCTGGTGGAGAACAAGGGAATGAATGCGACATCCAGCCCTTGAGTAGTCTGTTTCACTGACCCACAGTGTAGCTCACTTTGATTCACTTTGCATCTCTGAGCACTCTAGCACAGTGGTGCCCGAGGTGTGCGAAGGATCACCCACCCAGTGTCCGCTGCAGCGTGTCATAGACTCATAGACCTTTTCCTTGTGCCAAGTCACGGCATGTGTATCAAAAAGAAATTAATTACTGAATCAAAAAATATTAATTCGTAATCAAAAACAAATTAATTAACTAATCAAAAAATAACTATTTTCCTTTCCCGTCTCCCCTGGTCCCCTTGGTCCCTGGTCCCCTGGTCGAAGGGGAAGGAAGGAAAGAAGGGATCAAGGTAGGAAGTGAGGAAGGCAGGAAGGATGGAAGCAAGGCAGCCAGGAGGCAAGGAAGCACGGACAGAAGAAGGCAGGAAGAAACAACGTAACAAAGGAAGCACCACAAGGAACATGAAGAATAGAATCAAACAACAATAAACAAAAGAATCATCAACCATGTTAATGGAGGTGCGTCTATTTTTTTCGGGATTGCTTTCGTATTTCTTTATTCTGATTGTGCTGTTTTATTGCTTTTCTGCTTCTGCGTTTTTTTCTTGCTTTTGTTGCTTTTGCCGCTTTTCTGCTTCTGCTGCTTTTTTGCTTTTGTCGCTTTTCTGCTTTTTGTGTTTTTATCTTTCTGCTCTTTGCTTTTGTTGCTTTTCTACTTTGGCAGCTGTTCTCCTTTCTCTTCTTGTTTTTGCTTTTTCCATTTGTTTGCATTGCAGAGAAGAAACCAAACAAGAAAGCAAGCAAGCAAGCAAGCAAGCAACCAAATACGCCTCCTGTGCTAGTTCTCTTTCTCTTTGCTGTTTCTCTGCTAACTGCACCAAACTATTGTGATAGGTAGGAATTTCTCTCGCACCTACACTATTCCAATGTATTTTGCCAGCTACGACAGCTCCCGAATTAGTCTAATCAACTAGCAACTAATATGAAGCCTGCACTATTCTTTTTGTATTGGGCCAGCTACGGCACCTGTGTCTCTGCTAAGGACACGAACTTGCTGTAATTAGCTAGGTACTAATAAGAAACCCGCTCTATCCCAGAGAGCTCGTGGCAGAATAGTTTTTTTTGATTAAGTAATTAATCTTTAATTGATCCCCTCGACTAATAAATTTTTGATGCGGTAAATGTATTTTTTGATACTTCACCCCCAAGTCACAGCGGTTTGAACACGCGTATCGGTCAGTTCGTCTGACTTGAGTCCCCACGCCTTGCTCGGATTGTACATCCAACAAAAGCGGACCCAACCACTGGAAGACACTCCATGTGACTGCCATATATGCTTACAATGACCCCCCTGGCACCACCTCTGTCTGTATGGATTCATATGCCAGTCCCAGACAGGTCGCGTCTGGGACTGAAAGACTCGATGTCTTCTTTTCGGAACGCCACCGAGCTGAGGCTCCAACGGCCACTGCCTGCGCAGGTGCGATCCGTGCTATGTTTGGAGCTGGAGTGGGGGTCCACACATGGTCCTCACGGTAGACCTATATACCAGGACCCTCTAACAGCAGGCTGTTTTGGGACACTAGTCCAGGTGGTGAACCTGCGCACCGAACGGTTTGTCACCAGGAAACACCGATCTGTACGAGTCGGTATGGACGGTACAACATCCCAGACACCTCAATCGAGGGATGAACGAGTCATCCGGGTGACCAGCTTGCGACCTCTCCTCCGTTCCCAGGACCACAGCGCTTTTTTCTGGGTGCTCGACACGGGTTCAGCGGTATAGAAGATGACGATTTCTGAGAAAGTTAATTAAATTCAATTTTAATTCTAATAGCGAACCTTGTTACTACGTTCGTAAGGCACCTGTTACTACTAGGCACTTGTTACTAGCTTCTGGTGCCAACGTCTCATGTTTTTGTCCGAAAAGGAATGGACCGAAGCTACGGAACAGAACACTTTCTGGTACCTTTGATACTCTTTAAGGACTCTTGCGCAGTGTGGGGATTGAAAAGCTTATCAAGACAAGAATACGAAGCAACTCTCACGAAGACAACAGTTATTGTTCTCAAAGGCCACCAACAACGGTCATGACACACGACAATTCCTACACAGGATTCGATCAAATGCGTGGGTTCCATCGGGCAGAGCTTTCAATCGCGGTTTCTGACCTGTTTTTTCTTCTGCTGCGTAAAACATCGCAAAAGACACTCCTTGGCGCCTTTTTGTAGCGTCCAGGTGTTTCTCAGGTCTGAGGATTTGTTCCTCTTCACCACTCGGATGTCCAACGGCGGACTTCTCGCACCGATCTCCGCCCTTGCTGAAACGGCTCGAGTTGTGCTGAAATGGAAGCACCAAAGAAAAATAGATGAGACGCAGCGTTAGTTGTTGGGTCTTCATCTTGAATCAAGACGGACATCAGTTTTAGAACACCTAACAATTGGACGTGCTCTCATCGCAGCAAGCGTGGATTTCAAGGGTTTGGAGAAGGCCACGACAGACATCCAAGTGAGACAGGGCAACACAGTGGGTGACCGCCGCAGGGGCAACTAACCTCTCAATCAAGTCCGGGAGTCTCATGGAGTGTCTATTTGAGGATGGACCAGTCCACCATGTAGCGAACGATGTTGGCAGGTCAACCACGGTTTTGTGGGCGCAAAGTGAGGCGCCATGAGCCAAAAGCTAGGGCTTTGTAAGGGTCGCCCATCGAGCTCCAGTCCTTTCATGTTCATACTTTCTGCTTTTTTGTCCTCTCCATGAGACGACAGCGGTGCTTGTGGTCTCCGGCGCTGGCGGTCCTCGTGGCGGCCGATGGACCACTGGAAACGTCCACGTCGACGTTTCCCGGCTCGGCACCCGCCGGCGCCTCAGACTGCGGATGCTTGGCGAGCGGGGCGTGGGCCGGCCGCGTGGGGTTTGGCCATGGGGAAAACGAAAGGGTGATATACATTCAGCAGCTTAAGCTGTGATCACCATAGGGCCTTTGGGACATGTGGACATTTTGAAGGGAAAGCCTCTTCATTTCTTGAAGCCACCAAAATGCCTGACATTTGATGAGACCTGGCATACGTACTGCTGCCGCTCGACACTGACTGAGACATTTCGGCAACTGGCTGTATTGCCAACTGGTTGATGGGCTCAGTTACTGTATGCTCCAAGGTTGTTCCCCATTGTGATCAAACACACTCAGGATGGATCGTTCGAGGAGTCCCACCAACCGAACGTCGCTGTCGCGCGAGAGGTCGAGTCACGAGAGTGTCTTAGACCGTTCGGTCGTTCGCTTGCTCGCTGGCCGTTGGACTAGTTGGACTGAGGATGTTCCACCATGACCTTCATCCAGCTGACGCTGGATCCGACTGGCTCCAACATCGCGCAAGCGACCGGCGTGCGACTGGACGATGCGAGCGGAACCGGCCAGACCATCCCAGTGTCGAGACCGCACGAGGAGCCACACGAGAGCCAAACAAGGGAACGATGGACATCCATGGACAAGGGAAACAGGATGGTCAGTCCTGAAGTTGGTCAGTCCTGAGGAGATGTGAAGGTGAAGACGAAGAGTATATACCTCGCGTTCGACCAAGAAACAGCAAAGCACTGCAACGTGGGGTACCATTCCCACAAAGTGACCACTATAATATAGTGAGATTCTCTCGTCACTGCCTTGTCTTTGAAGGTTATTTTGCCCTGGTCCTACCCAAGAATGGTATTCCTGGCCGTCACCGTGTTTAAAACCCGAGCCGATGACCGCTTGCTTCTGCTTTGTTTCCTGATCTCGGATCTTGAACCCTCGAAGGTCTTAAATTTCAATCAAGATCAGCACACAAACATGTAGAAACAGTAGAGGACTCCCATTTTTATCCACTCAAATGCCACATCCCAACATTTGTTGAATCACGATATCAAGAATGCCTTTGCCTTAGCTGGTGGTTTGCATGAAGGTTTTGCTCAGGTAGAGGTTCTTCTCCTTCTCTCCAGCACAAGGAACTGCAGGTTTTAAAGGTTGGTCAAAGTGAATCAATGCACCCATGAACCAATCACCATCTTCCAAGTTCAGAAGCTGGAAATCAGAACCTGCTTTGGTCGGCTGAAAAATGACATGTTTTGATTTTCGCTGTTGAACCCATTTTGGGCCCATTTGGGCAGGGGGTGGGCAACATTCATGTCAGCAACTGTTGAATTCTGTGGTTGAAACACGTTTCCGTGACCGAGCACGTGCTCCCTTGTACGTTTCCTCCACCCAAGTTGTGCTCCGGAAATTCCGTGACCGACGTTTTCCTGTTATCTGAACCCAACGTTCTAGTTTCCAAACTTAAAGCTGACAGTGTGGAAAAAGACACGTCTTTTTGTTGAACAACTTGGGTTTGCTGCTTCAGCAACCCTTGAACCATGGTTGAACCATGTTGAAACATGGTCGCGTGCAGAACTCGTGCAGTTCTCGGTCTGCCGGTCGCCCATGTCGGTGGGCTGCGTGCCCAACTCGACCTCAGGTGGACTCAGAAGGGACGTGTTCGACCCTCTTAGCAGTTAGCTCCTCTGCCAAGGCTTCTTGGGGGAACTGCTTCAGGTCAGCGCTGGAGGGAGCATGCCAGGGAGAGATGGTATGTTGCATTGAGGAGGAAAGAGGGGGGAAGCAAAACGATCGAAGCCAAACCCGCTTTGCATCAAAAAAAACCGACAAGCTTTTTTTCTTTGCGTTTTCAGCACATTCGGATGTACCAATGGGTCCAGTCCAACGAAACCTCCGCAGTGTATTAGATAAAATCATGCAGCTTGAGTCCCTGGTCCTTGGTACAACCGGCACGTCTGGCCCAGTGGATCCCAGAACAACTAAGGAACCCAGGGTTTGGGAGTTTGGAACCACTGGTTACCAGCTATAGTGTTGCCTGGGTGGGGCATGTTGGACATTCTTTTCCAGCGTGCTGGGGGAGCAAGGCCTATAGCTACCAGTCTTCGAGCGGCTCGTGTGTGCTGAGCAATGCCTTATCGCGCTGGACGCCAGACCCGGAGTTCTCGGGAGGGGCCAAGGCGGAGGCCGGGAGACTGGAGTGACGGGCTGGGATGAATAAGTTCCCCAGGCCCCAGATAGCGAGAGCTATTGGGGTTCTTACTTCAAGTATAGGAAGAGGATGGAAGAGGTGCCTGGTTCTGGTGCAGGGTGCCGCTACTGTGTGCGCTTTGGAGCTTGGGTGCTGGTGCCGCTGCGCCGCTGCGCCATGGGGCCCACAAAAAGCTTGTGCAATCTGGGGGTCTATGCTCCAGAACCTTCCCAATGACCTCTTCAGGATTGGTAAGTGACCTTTTTAAGGCCTAAGGCCGTTTCGTGACCTTATTCTAGGATCTCAAGGGCGGTCACTGGGAAGGTCCTGGCTGGCGTCATTTTCTGCAGACGAAGCGACCGTTTTCTGGTGCTTTATGAGAGAGCGTCTACGGATGAAGCTGAAATCTCTGAGCCTCCTTTGCCAGAATAGATTTCCTGTGAATCATCTTCGGGACCATTGACTTGTGGACGGGTCGACACTCCGTGAAGACCCGGCGTCGAAGCGGAGGTTTACAATGAGCTCTGTGGCCTGAAGTGCCAAGCCCAAAACATCACGACTATTACCATGGTCCACCACGAGCAGATTTATTGCACCTTGCTCGGCTCGGAGAAGGGGGGAGGAGGAGCAGGGAGGGCTTGGGAAAGAAAGGTGATGTTTTGGGGCACAGGCTTCGGTTGCAGAGGCTGGGTAAGTACCAGGAGGTGTTCCAGTGAGGCCCCAGAAGACACCATTCTCCGACACTGTGTCGGAGACCGTCGAAGAGCGCCGGTGTGTGGTGAGCTACGAAGATAGTAACTCGCTGCGCCCAGTGAAAGGACACCCTTTCACAGCTGAGAAACGCAACACTTTTTTTTGAAACTTCTCTGGGTCGTGACCCTGTCAGTCAAGCGAGCTCGAATCTTTTGAAGGGCAGAACATGGCACAGCGCCTGCTGTTATTTAGGAGTGCCTGCGTCCATGCGAGAACATGACTGCCACTCCATGCGTCGCCATGCGTTGGTTTGCGCATCTTCATCGCCCTAGGTCAGTGCTGCCTGAACTACCGGGTGGACTACGCAGCCTGGAGGTCTCGCTTCTACCGCCTCTCGCTTCTACCACCTCGTGTTTTTCCATCGTGGTTTTTGGCGCGCGGCCAGCCATGCGGTGGGACAATCTCTGTATTGCTTTGTTTTGGAGTATGGTGGGACACCTCTGAAGGCAGATGTTATGACAAAGACCCTCCTTTTTTGAGATGACCCAAGCCGGAGCTTTTTGGGGGGGAAGCACGCCTGGGCACCCTTTCACTCCTCGGGGGCTCTATCTGACGGGCTTCACTTGGTTTTAGAGGCCCCAAGTGAAGAATCAGGTACTCTCCCAGGAACTGGAAGTGGATGGCCTCCTGCTTGGTCTTCGGAACCTGGCCAGCCACTTCCATGATTCGTCCCGGAACCTGCGCCGGACGT